TTTCTTTCATTTCTATATCGTGTTTATCATAGTGCCATGCGGTCTTCATATTCATATCTTTACATTATTCTATTACCGCAAGCTTAACATCTATTTCACCCCGACCTGCTCCCAGTCTGGCCTTGTAGCTCAGCTGGTAGAGCATCGGTGTACAAATCCGAAGGTCGTGGGTTCGAATCCCAGCGAGGTCGGGAATTAATTTTTCCGAATTTATTCCTAAGGGACTTCTCCCGGAATTGCCTCCTTCTAAGCTCTATAACTTTCTTTCATTTCTATATTGTTAGCATTGGTCTCATGGGACTAACGAGAAAATTGGTTATGCAAATTATTCCCGTTGGGAATTTTCAATACTCTAAATTTCGTAATCTTTCTAATCGAGGTTTGGTTTTTAATTCATATGAAAACGGCTTCTTTGCCTATTTAAAAATGAAAATATTAATGCAGTGCTTGGAAAACTTCTTATAGTATGAAATAAGCCAGTTACATACCTCGARYGTCGGCAATCAGCCTATACATCCCTCGGGCTTACGGCCCTCGGGATGTATTAGGCTGATTGCCTCCGTTCTCGGTATGTAACTCTTACTTACGATTTTTTATTTTTTATTTTTTATTTACGATTTTTTCCAGTATACTGATATCACTTTTATTCTTGACGTAAAAATGAACCACGAATCAGTTTCAAATGCTTTAGCTGCCTATGCAGTCGTGACGAAAAAAAAAACCCTACARACATTAAAAATCGATTTTTCTTCATTAATCACTTTATCAATTGGAAAATTTGGGAATGTTAGTAAAACTCCCTAGGTCTGCGCCCTAACTTCCACTAATTTTTCCTCGGTGAAATTCAACCTTTAATTTCCCCCGTGCCATTGTATAACCTTATAATTGATTGAAGAATCACTATGCCGACCAACATTTTACCTTTAAATGTGCTAATTCCTTTAAGGATTACTTTGTTATCRTCTCGATAGGTGACTCTGCCACGACAGGGAGCCTGGACACTAGATCCCATCGARCACAAGACGTCAACTCCAAAATGGATCCCTTTCCTTCTGGCTTCGCTAACCGTCATAGAACCATTCAAAGAAACTCTTTGAAAACAAGAATTTCTTACTAGCAGGAATATCAATATACGAAAATATATAACACAAACCACAGGCAACCCAAGCAAAGCATTTGATTYAAAATTGTTTTTTTTTTTAAATAAAATACATTTTACCTTAATCTCATGTGTTGCTGATGTTATTTAACATTGCTGTGTGTGATTTTGAAGGGATTTAGAGCTATTTTTAAAAAAATATCTCCATCAGTCATAAAAGACTACAAGTCTGGTTWSAGAACTTCCACACCAATCGTCGTGAAGGCCGAAAAAGATATCTTAAATCAATCTTTTGCCTCCAAAATCCCCTCAGCGGCATGTCTCTAGGATCCTTYTATCCAGAATWRGGCAATAYTTCAACGGACTTCAAATCCAACCGTGCCAAATTGTCATGTTTGTACGTGATATTCTGACTCAATTTTTGAATCCGCTCAAGCATTCATCGACCTTGATGGACACCGTTTCCTCTGACGACAGTTACTATGGAATCAGTTCAAGTACTCCCGACTACTACAGGGAGTGTAGGAATTTGTACAACTGTCTACATCCCCAAAGGGCCCGCCAAGCCCGAGGCCGAACGAACACAGCTCAGGGAAAACTCGTTCGCGCGCTTTTTCGAAGTTTTCAACCGAATCCAGTT